CACATTATTATAACCTTACCTTTGTTTCTAGTGTCTGCTTATTCAAATCCATTCAATAAAACATTTTCTGCACAATTTAAGTATAAATATTTAAAAATAATTCTAAAACTGAAATGCCTCTGACCCATTTTCAGAGTCAGGGTGGTGGAGCACATTGGTAAACACTTTATGATTTAAACTTGGTGATATTACTATTATTATTGTGGAGACAGTACATGTGTCATATTTCCTTTAGAACTGCAGATTTCCAAAAGACAACTCAAGATAAAAACAGGCATGAGTTTTAATTGAAAAGGAACTTCTTTAATTATTTTCACAATTAACAGATTAATCATTTGGTCTATAAAATTTTAGGAAATATGGACAACAACAAAAAAAAAAATCACAATTTCGCACAACCACAGTTTCCTAAAGCCACACATGACGTCTAAAAATGTCCATAATCCATATAAGATAAAGAAAAGCAGTGAATTCTTACATTTGAGAAACTGGAACTAGAGAATTTGTTGATTTGCTTTTGAGAATTTCTGCTTGAAGAATGCCAGTGATTGCCAAGTGATTTTGTAGATTGATTATTTAATTAATTAATTAATCATTTCAGGTCTAATGAAGACAGAATCTGCCACACACCACTCCTGCACTGCTGTGACTCCCACTTTGACCTTTGACTTTCTGAACAAATGACTTCTTTTTTGCTGCAACTTTTAATTTGATGCATCTTTTCCTTTTTATTGTGACACCCTCTCAACTTCTCTGCCTCCTTCTAAGATAAAATGCCACACTCTGCGTGCAGTAATGTTAGATATAGTCAGATATCCACATGTAACCAAACCTCCCTACCTCTCACCCAGCTGGAACTGCATGTGTTGGGCACTGAGACCAATGAAGCTCCCTGCTTTGTCTGTGCTAATGACAAAGTGCTAATGAGACTCATGGGAAGAAAAATACAAACTGGTAGGAAGATGTGACAGACACAGATGGGAAACAGGTGTAGTGCTCGGATTCATATCTGTGAAATGTCTTCTTTAATGTCAATTCACAGGCTGATCAGTGGGACACAAGTAGAAGATGCAGGGCTGACACAGAGTGATGCTTGATGCTTGTATAGACAGATCTATAACATGTATGGTTCTGAAGCTATAAGTGAAATTAACTGATGAGTCAATCAACAAGAAACTAATCTGCAGTCATCAGTTTTCAAGCTTCTGTAACATTATAAATCGAACATCCTTGGATGTTGTTGACTGTTTTGAAGACATCAGGGGCTTTGAATGTGATGACATCAGTCCACAAACACAGCCAAATACAACCCAGCTTGTCATAGTCACAGACAAGACAAAGGGTACCAATGAAAACAACTGAGTGTCTTGATCGCTAAAGGTAGTGATGACATACAGTGGCTATTATATCTCAGATGACCACATTTGCTGGATCCCTGTAATTTTAGTTTAACCTTGCTGCCTTTACTCTATAGTTGGACACTTTTAAATTTTATGCCAATAAAGCACCGCCTGAGTTGAGGTTTAATTGAGAGACAGAAAAGGGTGGGACACACAGGTTGGACTGAGATGATAAACAGTAAATTGAACAGATAAGAACGCAGTAGACTCTCTGCAAGAAGGACAAATTATAAAAGCTAGATTAAAAAAACAAAAAAACACTGAAGGACAGATGGTGAAGAGGAACCAATCATTTTGATTAGTGTCCTCAAATGTTCTCTCATGCCATTAGCACGGCATATCTCAACAGCGTCTCCATCACTTAGAGGTTAGCCGTCCTTGTCCCTGAGTCACACCTGACAGGCATGCAACAGCCTCACAATCAAAATCTAATCCACCTGAGAGGAAAGGTGTCATGGTTAACCATCAGGAGGAACATCGTCTAGATGTACATTAAAGTGCCTCAGCAAGGTTTGTATCGATCCTGTAGCTGATACTTTTTGTTGAAATTCCATCACCCTATGTAGACAGAGTGGTTTGATAATTATCACAAGTTTTAAAAGGAAGAAAGACAGAAAGAACTTATAGAGTATGTCTCCATTTTCCACTCATGCTCTGTAGACAGGTGACCCGGGGCATGTTTTAAACAGCATATATGCCTGTGAAATAATTAATGTAAATGTCTGTCTGCCTTTTATAAGTCTCCTATACTGTGGTATTGATTTTCTGTGCTGACCGTAAGCTGCAAAACCAGACGGAGGGAGAACAAAGCCAGGACCAGAGCTGTGAGAGAGAAAATAATCAGTCCATGTTTGTTGCTGCCAAAATCAACCATGTCACTGCTTGATGACAGTCAAAAAAGATTGCCACTCATAGAAGAAGACGTTAAATGACTTTCTGAGAAGCTGCAATGTTAATGTCTCAATAAGACACAGGGAAGGAAAGACGGAGAGGGAGAAAAGAAGCATTGTAACATGTAAACACATGGTGTATTGTTAAGTGTGTGTTGGTTTGGACCTATGACACAAACACAATGGGCCACTGGGGTGGGTGGGGGTGGAAGGTTGGATGAGGAGGAGGAGGATAGGAAGACCTGAGCGACGTCACTGCAGCTGGACTAGTGCATACATTAACGCATGACAGTATCTGCAATTTGTTCACTGCTGCAAGATGGCAAAGACTGCAGGCCTCACTGACACGTGCAAATAAGAACGCAGCCAATCTGCTGCACATTTAAATACAGGATAACATTCCCTTGTAATGCTATCATTTTTCCTTCGTCTGAACCACTGGTCCCCCGGGTGAGGCAGTGTAATTAGACAGAAGCTGTTGCTATGACTACAGCTGGGTGAGTGCAGCATAACGTGGCCTGTTTAATGAGCGCAAAGAGATAGTTGTAATAGTGTAAATTACTGGGGGAAGAAAAACTCTTGAAATTTAGCTAACTGATATTAAAACAAGGCCAAGCTAACCAAGCTGTAACAGAAGAAATAATAAGCTAATATCAAAACACTGCTTTTGGAGTTACGCTCATTAAAATGTCTATTGATTCCTCTATTAGATCCTCTAGAGAAAAAGTATTAAATAAAGTACTATAGACTACAATGGTAAGAAAAAATCATTTCAGGTTCAGGGTGCGTATTTTTTATATTGGAGATTATTCAAGTGCTGATTTGGAGTTTAAGGGAAACTCCACCAATTTAAGACATCAAAGTCTGTTTGCAGTTCTTCTGGAGAGCTACTGCATATGCAGAAAAGTTGAATAGAGCTCTCCCATGTATTAGCATATATCCACAATGTATGCTAATACATTCAATGTTAATACATGAGAAGCAGAAGCTCGGGCTAGCTATATGAAGCCTTTTGTGGCTGTTTAAGTTGCGTTCTTGGTAACGTAGGCACAAGGTTTTGGACAAGGAAGGAAAAAGAAAAAGCTATTTCTGGTTGTGCTGCATCAACTTTTAAACCTTTTTAAGCTACCCACTGTGAATATGACAAACAATAGTGCAAGGCTAAATCAGTTTCTTTTAAATCTCCCAAGTTGTACTTGTAGGCTACATCTTTCACCACGAAACCTGCTCCTTCCACAAGAAGCATCATGTGTAGATTAGCCTCAGGTGTAAGCAGTAGGCCTGCCTGACTTACTACCTGTTAAGATGGGGGTTAGCACTCTGGCCGTGTGGTGAACTATCTGTCTCAGCTGCTAAACAAATGTAAGAGAAGATAATGAAGGTGTCAACCGAAAGTGATAACAACGCCAGATGTGTTCATGCCCAATTACAGCTGCCAGAAAGTGATGAATCACTTCAAAATCTCAATTAAGCTGTTGCACTGATGGATCTCTGTCTGTCCAGTGAAATGAATGATATTTCATCTTGGAATACCCAGCCCTTGTTCAGTGTGTGTGCATGTGTGTGCGTGTGTGTATGTGTGTGTGTGTGTGTGTGTGTGGGGAGGGGGGGGCTGGCCTGGAGCCACAGTATGCATACACTCTGACCTTGCTTAAGCAGGAAATACTGCTGAATCACATACTCATGTGCACAGTATCCAAGGGAATTAAAGTCTACAAAACCACACACAAAAAAAAGAACTTCTGATCAAATGAAATACAAGCAAGCAGGGCCGACGGACAGTTAGCAAAGTGACACCCATGCTGTTGCCTACATGAGGTAAGCTTAATTTACAGCATAAGCACTGGCAGACAGATGGAGCTGAGCTGGAAGGGCTCAAAGCTCAGGTGGACTCTCTCTCTACCTCTCTCTCTCTCTCTCTCTCTCTCTCTCTCTTTCTCTCTCTCTCTGCAAGGTCATACTGCAGCATAACAGATCAGATTTGTTCCCCTGGCTTCGTTTTATCTCATCATCATCAGCAGCAGCAGCAGCAGCAGCAGCTCTGACAGCCAGAAAGCTGTGCATGTTTGCAAGGCTGAAACGTCCTCACATACGCATAGCGAGCATCACCCTTTGCACCCTTGCCTGGTGGGGATAAAATAGCCTATGGACAACAAAATTGTGGCCCTGCCACAGAAACAACAACACATCCAGCAAGATGCCTTGTAACTGTATCTGCTTTACAGGAAGTCTGCATCCAAACTGAACCTGCCTCTGTGACAGTTGTCATAGGATTAAATAATGTACAACTTGGAGTCACTTTGACACTAAAATCAGGAAGTTTGGAAAATGACTCATCTTTCCTTATAGCCCTCATAAACAGAGGTGTTATTTAACAGGAATTTATGGTTCCATGAATGCATCATGTAGTAGTTAGCAGATAAACTAAACCAGGGATTTATGTAGGCCTAACAAAATAATCTTCTTGCCTTGGTGCTGCATGGAAGCAAGGAGATAAAAAAAAAATCCAAACGGTGAAATGTGCAATATTTAGAGGGCTCAGTAACAATCGTAGGATCTCAGTGAAGCCTGAGTGCTGGATTTAAACCTGCATGAGAAGGGGGATGGGGACTGAGATGCGTAAAGTGTAAAGCGAAAATCTACTGCGGAGCCGCTTGCGTGGTGCACCGGGGCGCATCAACACGCATCGCAGCCTGGAAAAGCTACTTACTTCCCAACGAAGTTCTCCAGCACCGAGCTCTTCCCCGCACTCTGGCCGCCCACCACGGCGATCTGCGGCAGGTCCAGGTTTGCGTTCTGGCCGATGGAGGAGAAGGCATCCTGCATACGGTTCACCAGAGGAATCAAATCCTCCATTCCCCGGTTGCCCATCTTTGCGGTGCAATCGGACGCCTATCTTCCTAGTCAGCGCAGGGAGGGATTTGTGTCTTATATATTTCTCTTCGTCCCTCCTCGCCACCCTCGCGTTCAGAGGGCGTCTTGGACTCACACCGGTTTACTTTTCGGTTTGCTCCCTCATTGACTGCGCCTCCTCGGTGTGTCAGATCACCTCAGCTTGGACTCTCTCCCTCCACCACCGAACATGTACACTCCTCTCAACCAAGCACCGCAGCAGGGGGGGAGGAGGATGAGGATGATCTCTTGTATTTTCCTCAGGAGAGATCCCTGCAGTTCTCCACGCACACCGCTGGGTGGTGACACTGGTGCACTTTCACTGTGTTGCCTGTCAAAGTGTGCTGCTTTCAGTACAGGAAGTTCTTGTTTTGAAGAGACTCCAAAGATTAATCTTGTTGGAGTGAAATGGGTTTCAAAAGTTGTAGATGGAAAGTCTTGCATCCAGTTTTTGATGTTATTGCCCAAACAAACAATTTTGTATGATGTAACCTACACTTCTGTCAACGGTGCTGAGCATGGACCATGTTAGCACCATGGACAGAGGCCAGGGGGCACTCTATACAACTTCTTCCTGCAATTGTCCAACATTTATGTTGATCGCAAGTAGACCTGCAATCATTAGTTGATTAATCCATTAGTTGAACTGATCAGAACGGAAAAATAATTGGTAGCTATTATGGTGAAGAATTCATAGCTTTACGGTTTGACCGTTGGTCGTCAAATTTGAAGACATTACTTTAGAATCTAGTGGACTGTGATGGGCATGTCCCATTATTTTAAGGACCAAATGATTAATTGATTAATAAAAAAAAATCATTTGATTAAAAAATAATTAATAACTGGCGCGCTAATACAAGTTACCAATATAAATATAGGTATACATAAGCATTCCATGCTGTTACATGTCAAACAATAAAAACACAAACTTCTATTTATAGTGACACACTTTAGAAACTCTTAGTTTTCAATAAATATAAAAATGTATTATTCACATGGCCATATATTATGAAGCCTTTTCTCCAGACAACCATCAGAGGGCGACAGGTTACTACACTGGAAAGGCTGGTTAGTATTTCTGCTTTATGCAAGTTGCACCGGGACTGAGAGCAACTATTTAACCCTGTGCCATGCCCATAGTTGGATAATCAACAGTCACCGCCGCTCTTCTCTTTGAGAAGTAAGTCGTAACTGCTATAGGACGCCTAAGGTAAAATTGAGAGAGTAGCCTAGGAGGCGCAGCTGGTTTATCTACGAGTTAGCCTGCTAGTTCAAAGCTATGCTAAGCTAAGATGGGTTCAGTTGCTGAGCGGTGGGCTAGCTGCGTTCATTTCATGGCAGGTGTAGCTTATTTATTGATAAATTCAGTGTTTTCAGCTTTTGCCAGTTTTGGAAGAACGTGCCAAAAACAAAACAAAAACTAATGGGTAACATGCTGTTCTCTTCCTAAAGTTGGCTAACCGAGTACAAAAAGAAGTATTTAAACCAAAACAACAGCAAATTGTTGCTAGCTTACTAGCTAACACTAGCTAGTTGTCATCACGAAATATGAGAGCGACCTGTTGTGTAGGGGGCGGCACTGGTGTTGAATGTGTCTTTACAACAAAGAGTTGTTCTGACAGCAGGGCACACGTATACATCATCTTTTTCTTCTTCTGATCCAGGGATATTATATTTCGAGAGGTGTCAAAACACTGCAACTTCGCAGCTGCGGGTCTGTCAACTCGGGAGTGTAACAGCGGAAATTAAAGCCCGCAATGTTCAATCCACACATCCATCAGCAGCAGCAGCAGCAACAGCAGCAGTTTCACCAGCACCTGCGGCAGCTACAACAACTTTTCCAGCAGCAGCCTCCGCCTCCTCCACCGCAGCCACCTCCGGGGCATCATGTCGCCCATCACCACCACCAGACACCGCGGTAAGCAAGTTAACTCGAGACCGGGGATGAGGCAGGGCCTCCTAGGTGAAACGTGTGGCTGCTGGCTGAGCTGGAAGCCCTGTCACAACACATACCAGACTGTACGATTTGGGGTGGCTGGAAATTCATAATCATGCAGCATTTTAATTTAGTATTAGTGATATTTGTCCAAAAGTTGGACTATTGCGACGCTCTGTTATCTGGCTTGCAAGAGTAATATTGATAAACTGCAGGTTATATAAAACAATGTTGCAAGATTACTGACTCTCGACCATAAAGTATGATCACATCACCTCTATTATGGCCTCCTGGCAACAGCACACAACCTGATTTGTGATACAAAGTACCCTGTGGGCTTGTGCCATGTTACCTATCAGCGTTTGATTCTGCGTCTTTAATCGTCATACAAACCCAGGATGCAGGCCTCTTGTTTATTCTGTGGATGATCACACCAACACCTCAAACTTCACCTGTTTTCTTTGTCATTCATTGCTACTTCCCTGATGTGTGTTCATTCCCCTTCTATTTACCTTTGCTCTATATGATACAACATGAGAAAGCTTTTATGCAAATCTAATGTTCTTATTATTTTGATTTAATATCATCTTTCTATAGGGTTATACTTGTGAGACTTACTGCTTACTGGTTTTAAGCACTTGTTTGCGAAACTTAGTGTGTTATGCAATGCAATTATGTGCTATAAAAAATGAAAACTTAAAATTGACTCTATGCCAAAGCTGATATGGAAGGAAAATTACTTCTCATAAAAGCTAGTCTGTATCAGAGCCACTACACGCTTGACTGGGTCAGAACATAGCTTGAGGGAAAATAAGGTATGCATAAATAATCATCATGATTGTGAAATAATCGCATGGACAGCTTGCATTTGGAGAGAACATTTGTGTGCAGTTGTCCATGTCATCAAACTTTAATTTCTACATCAGGATGTTTGCTAATTGTCAAATAATATGGGTGTGTGTAAAATACATTTCTAGATTAGTCAGAAGGTAGACTACTCTGCTCTGGTTGTGGACAGGAATTGATCTTTTGGCTGAGACTCTGCACCTCTTTTCCTACAGATTTACATAACTTTGCATCAGTTGAAATAATGCTGCATGTTTATTTTCTCTTGTGCATTTGCTATACAGAGCCATTCCTGTGCCTCCCCAGACAGCACCTCCTCCCAGAATGGTCAACCTGTGCCAGACGACCCAGACTACGCTCATCGCCCCCAATCCCATGCTGCAGGGGGCCTTACTGATGCAGCAGATGCAGGGTACAGTTGGGATTAGAGTTTAAAGACGGCAGTATCTGGCAAAGCCCCCATCCTGCATATAGTAGCTAATAATCAGAAACAGCATTCGAATTTTTATTTGACATTTTCATAGATGATATGTTGAAAAGCATGAAGAAGTCTAAAACTCCTTTCATGCTTTTATTTCATCCAGGTAACATGCGGAACTTTGGGATGGGTGGCCAGCAGTTCCGTCAGTTCTTCACAGCTGGGGCCAGGTCGTCTCTGCTCGGCCCGGTTCCCATGGGCATGGCTATCAAGTCCCCTATCATGGGTTTCCCAGCTGCACGAGCCTTCCACCCACACGCTCGCTACTACAACAACAGTAACACTGCCACCGCCACCACCACCACGACCACCATAGCCCCTTCCACCTCCTCCTCCTCGTCTTCATCCACCACCACAGTAATTACAACAGCACCATTATAATAATTATAATCACTGTGTAGGATTTCAGCACAGCTAATACACTCCATTAGCATTGTGTGAATCTTAAATGCATCAAGATTTGATGACTCAATCAATCACAGGCAGTGGAAATGTTCTTATCGTGATTTTAATTTGATTATAGCCCATTCAAAGGCAATTAGGGTTTACGTTTGTGCTTTCCAATTTCAGCACAAGCTTTCATTATGTTGAAGGAACAGATAACCTGAAAGCAAAAACACGACTATTCAATATATATTTTTGATAGTTTTTGGAGGACAATGGAGTTTGGTGGAATAGAGCTGAAGCTACAAATGCAATACTTGATTTTAGAGCTCAACAATTACTCAATTAATCAATGAATGAATTGACAAAGAATTAAGAGACACAATTCTGATAATCAATTAATCATTGAAGTTACTTTTATAGCAGAAATTCCCAAAATTCAATTTCAGATGTGATGCTTGCTAAATTTTCTAATCTAATATGATATTATACTTAATATATTTAGTTTTTGGACAGTTGTGTGGACAAAACTAGTAATTTTATTGTAAATTAAATGTTAAATGAGATTAACTTTTTTCAGTATTTTCTGACACTCTATAGAATGATTGATTAACCAGAAGAGTAAATAGTAGATTCATGAACAATGAAATATCTTTTCAATAGCAGGAAAAATTAATTGTTGGTTTTGTTTTCCTCAGAGCAGTTGTTGAACGTAAAAGGACTCAGACCTCAGAAATTTAAAAAGGAGCTCAACATTGCTTAAGTCACATTTGCAATAATATGTTATATTTTACTGTATTCGAACCGAATAATAAAGGTAATTTTTCTTTTAGATGCTCAGTCAAAATGAGTTGCATCCAGATCTATTAAAATCGTCTTTTATTTGTGCTTTTGTTGATATCTCTTAGCTGCATCTCTGTCTCAAACTTGAAGGTGTAGCCATGTTAGTTGTGGCCAGTGTTGATGCTAACTTTAATAAACAAGTCAAGCCTCTTTTTATTCAGTATATTTGAAATCCTGTTATCTTTGTCTGTGTAAAGGACACCATAGCTCGCCAGCCAGACAGGAAGCGAGACAGCGAGCAGATGGCAACGGGGAGCACAGACAACCAGCCCACAGCTAGCAGTACCAATGAACCCGATGACAAATCTGAAACAGGTACAGATGACGTGCAGAAGATGTTAAGGTTATAGCATGACTTGAATATCATATGTGATTTTAAACTTGTGTCCATGCCTCCACAAACTACAAAAGTACTAGAGAATACTGATGGTATACATTTGCTTGTAGGTAATGTTTTTATTCTTAGTTTCCAACTTTGGTTTTGCATTTTATACCCACAGATGGTGCAGTGGGAGGAGTGGATGGACCCACACAGATCTTGGAAGAGCAACTTGAAGAACCTGCTGTGAAAAAGCAGAGGACAGAGGAGTAGGGAAACTATTTGTTTTTATTGCTGTGGTTCTAGAAAATCTAATCCCACCATCAGGGTTTAATGTCTTACCTCTAGAAGGAAGAAAGGTACCTGACCAAAAGGTAGAAGTGG